TGCTGCTCTCAGAGCTTCGTGTCGTCACTTCCTGCTGCTCTCAGAGCTTCGTGTCGTCACTTCCTGCTGCTCTCAGCGCTTCGTGTCGTCACTTCCTGCTGCTCTCTGAGTTTACTGAACTTCTTTTGGGTTAGTCAGCCTGAGTCTGGAGGTGTTTTTTGTTTGTTTGTTTGTTTGTTTAACAAACGTCTCTGACGAGCAGCTCCTGGTTCAGATCAGATGTTTCTGTCAGCAGGGTGCGTTTGTGGAGGAGGTGAAGATCTTCACTACGCAGCTCGAGCTGGACACCAGCAGGATGGACGCAGAGGAGACAGACGTGACGGTTCGGCCTCAAATGACTGAAGAGCTGAATGAAAGCTGCGAGCTGCTGGAGGCCCGTTGGGCCAGCAGACAGCGGGAAGCAGAACACCGGCGGCTGCACAAGGAAAACGTGTCAAACTGCAGAAAATCCAGTTTCAACCAGAAACGTCTGTGCCTGAATTAAAGCAGCTTCTTTTTGTAGAAATCCAGAGCTGAGCTGTGACGTTTGCCTGAATCTACGTTTTGATTTGTGTGATTTTGCAGAACGTCTCCAAACCAGAAGGTTTCAGCGGCGCAAACAGATTCTGGAGTAAACAAAAGTGTTTACCCCGTAAACAAGGTTCAGAACGTTTACCTCAAAGTTTTAACTGAAAGTCCTCCAACCGTCGTCCAGTTTTTCTTTCTTCTTGTTTCAGAGATTTTACAAACGCAATTTTTTTTTTACTTTTTACCCTGAAGGCCTCAGAGATGCTGCAAAGATGAAACTGTTGGTCATGTCAGAAGATAAAGGTTAAAATAGCGCCCCCTGCTGGTCACCTCCTCAGGTTGGAGGAGAAAACATGAATCAATCCATCATCTTTACCTGCTTCTTCCTTTCTGGGTCGCAGGGGTCACTGGTGCCCATGTCCAGCAGTCCCTGTGCGAAAGGTGGGGGACACCTGGACAGGTCTCCAGTCCATCACAGGGACACACAGAGACAAATGAGACAAACAACCATTCACTCTCTCTCTCACCTAGAGACAATTTAGAGTTACCAATCAGCCTAACATGCATGTTTTTGGTCTGTGGGAGGAAACCGGAACACCCAGAGAAAACCCACGCATGCACGGAGAGAACATGCAAACTCCACCCAGAAAGGCCCCTGGACCTGGATTTGAACCAGCGACCTTCTCGCAGAGAGGTGGCAGCTCTACCAACTGCGCCACCGCGCTGCCCAAAAGGCTGCCTTAAAGCCGCAGAAGGTCATCTAAAAGCTAAACATAGAACAAGACCAGTTCAAGTAGCAAAAGTGTGGGTAACAGTTAAAATCAACAAAAGGCTTCAAGTAGAAAAACAACAAAGTTCAGCCAGGTCATCTGGACGTGTTGTTGTTATTAAGATGCTTCGTCCTTCATCCAAAGGACTTCATCAGTCCGAGGAGCCATAAACAAACTCTGTCCCACAAGCAGCACACTCCCATAGGGGACCAGCCAGTTTGCTGGTGATAAGATGGTTTCTGGGGCCCGTCCTCTCCCCTGTCGACTCCTCTGAGGCAGCCATGGCCAAAGTGGTTCAAAACATTTTTACCTGGATTATTGAGCATGAACTTTGATTTAAAAAAAAAATAAAAAGGGTAGCTAAAAGTTAAATGTAGCAAAACGGTAGCTAAAGAGTATCAAAAGCAAATACAAACTACAAAACGGTACCGGGGCTGATCCACTGTTGGGTTCCCGTGTTTTCACCAGTTTTCCCAGCATCTCAAAACCATCGGTGGGTAGGTTACAGGAAGTTCCCCTTTGATGTCACTTCCTGTTTCACTTTGGCTCCTCCAAGTTCCAGAGAAAATATACAGTTATGTAACAAAACCAGTCAAATCACGTGTATTAAACCACATTTCTTAAATATTAAGACATTTATTTTACAGATTTTGTATTTGTGGTTTACGCTTCACAGAAACTTTTAAACAAAGCAGGAAAAAAAAGATTTATCAATAAAATAAATGGGTAAAAACAAAGATGATAAAACTAACTAGTAGAGAAAGGCCATCATCAGACTTTGAGACAGGAATCGTTTTAAAACATCAAGAATCCTTTTTAATGTAATTTATTAATCAAATAAAATTATTTTATTTTCATTTACAAATCTGTCTACAGCAAGTAAGATACTAGCTGTTCAGAACCCCACTTTAAAATGTCAGAACTATCTTATAAAAAGTTTTAGGGGTTAAAAAAAGTAATATTCATAAAATAAAATCACTTCATCAAATAAACAAACAGCAAAACAATGCCATCAATCTACTTTAAACTTTCAGTGTGATCATACATGTGCTGAAGCACACGCGTGAAGGTTGTTTGTTTTTAACTCTCGTTTTCTGCAGATTAAACAAAGTAACCGGGTCAAAGTGGATCAGAACCACAGCGGGTCAGTAAGTCATGAGCAGATACTGCGGATGATAAAATAAATAAATTAAGCAGTAAAGATGGTGGTATCATTCTCCTCCTGTCTCTCATGTGATAACTCATGGATCAGATCAGAACACCAAACAGTCTGGACCGTCAGAGAACCGGGTCAGAGACAAGAACTAATCACAGAGTCCTTGTTCCACATGTTCTGATAAATCCCTTACATAACTGAGATCGGATCGGTCTGTTTCTCCAACGACGTCACCGAAATCTGATTTTATGACTCACAAGGAGGAAAAGTTCAGCTACGACCGCTCAGAACTTTAGGAACCGCGAGGAAACCCGCAGCAAAAAGCTTTAAAAAAACAAATCTCTTAGTTTGGATACCACTGGTTTCCAATGTTTGGGTCAGAACCACACTTTTGGTCGTGAAACAACAAGTCGGGGTCAATAGAGCGTAAAAATGAAGCACGTTTTACCACGACTGCTCCTTTAAACAGCAGCTTAAAGGTGCTGCAAGTAGCAGAAGACTTACTAACAACCAAAAGAAGCAAAAGACAAGCTAAAAGAATGAAAATACTAGCTAGATGCTAAAAAAGAGCAGAATGCTGGATAACAGTCAAAAGTAGAAAAACAGCTAGCTCAGAGTATCAAGTGTAGAGCTAAATGTAGCAAAACCAGTTAAAACTAGAAGTTTATCGCAAAAGCTGAAAGTGACAAAAATAAATAAATAAAAGCTAAAAGTAGCATAAGGTTATTAAGTTAGTTATTAAAAGCAGAGAAAGGCTAGAAAAAAAGTATCAAAAAGCTTGATAAGCTAAAAAGCTTAGTTAAAACTAACTACAAGCTAATTATATATATATATATATATATATATATATATATATATATATATATATATATATGTGTGTGTGTGTGTGTGTGTGTGTATATATACTGTATATGTGTGTGCGTGTGAAAATGTTGGCTAATAGTTTAAAACAGCAAAATGCTAGATAAAAGATAATTTCTCATATAAA